CTTATAAGATAGATTTTGTTACTTTAAGAATACAACTTTGAGATTGTGCATTGAACAAGCATTACTAATTTGGATGTTGATGGACTTTCTTATAATTCATGTTCTTCACAAGAAGACTTAATAAGAGCTCAATGGCATGGAAATCGTAATTAAAAAGCAGTCCTAAGATGGCATACAATAATATACTTGACTTTAATATCAAGTTTCATAATTATAGTTCTTGACTAGAATTCAAATGAAAAATTGGATGAAAATCAAGTAATTAGCAATGTGTAAGAAGATCTTGTAGTCTTCCACAAGCTTGAAAAAAGAAAATTTTCTTGAACTATTTTTAACATAAGAAGAGATAGGATTAGTATTCAAATAATAAGATTTTGTTGAAACAATAATTTTTTATTTCATTTGTGACTTGATGGAATTAGATGCATAGTTCCAAGGTCAGATCAAAGAGCCTCTTAAATATACCAAATACATAAAAAACTTAGATATTTTGATGTGTGCAAGATTTATTCTATCATATGTAATTAATATTGATAGAGTGGTATCTATCAATAAATAGCCATATATATTTTTCAATGTGAAGTGTGTGATTGAATTAGATCAAGTTTTAATACTTTATCACTTCAATTGAATCTATTGTTGAATCACTTATTGTTATCTAATATAGAGCTAAATATGTATTTGTGATAGTAGAGAATCTTAACAAGTAGATTGAATTTGTGACTTTATTACAAAATTCTTCAAAATTAGAAGCTATGGCTTTTCTTAAACAAATATTGGCATGTTTTGGAATACCTATTGAAGTCTTAATAGATCAAAGAAGAGAGTTTTTTGGAAGTTTTGAAGCTTTATGTATTAAAGCATTGATAGATCATTGTATCACATCTAGAAATCATTCTAAGGTAGATGGCTTTGTTGAGCAAGTTGTTCAGAGTGTCAAATGTAGATTATGGAATATGTATTACTTCATGGAAACCATCTTAATTATGATCTAATCTTGCCATGGATTATAATGGATTATTACTTCAATAGATAAGCATCTTTGATATCTTATAGTTCTTATTAGTTGTTGTATAAACAAAAGTCTATTCTTCTCAACTTAGTACATGAGAAGTTAGCTCTAGTTGTAGACTTAGAAGATCTTGATATTTGAATTCAATGTCTATATGATCAGATAAATTTTTTTAAATAAGCCATACCTATGGCTATGGAAAACTTATCTATTACTCAACATTGTGATACTTTACAATACACTTGTATTTGTAGTCGAGCTTATTGATACTAGTTGCAAAGATTTTCTAAAGAAGATTATGTATATTTGCAATGTGAGGTGTCTACAATACTTGATGTTAAGGTAAGGCACATAATTCTATATGTAAAGAATGTATTTTTTAGTGATATTTTATTTTTAGAAGGTAAGAATCGACAAGAGTATCAAGAGCATTCAAAGAATTGTGCTTCTTGTCATCTTCCTTTTAATGACTTTATACATCTTGAATTGGTAATTGTGTCAATTGATCTTCTTTGTTTTATATGAGGTGAGAAGAAAAAGACTACTATGATACTTTTATGTGATCAATGCCAACATAGGTGGCATATGGCATATTTGACACTATTTCTTTAGACTCTTCCATTAAGAGATTGGATTTGTCCTTATTGTAAGAAGTCTTCTAGCCATGCTTCATCTCTTGATAAGAATTGAAGATTTCTTCTATTATGTGTATGACACTCTTTGGTGGTCTAATTACTACAATACTAAGTTTAGAAGAGTACAGTTTGGCATTCATATTATAGTGGCATTCATCTTCAAAAATATGTGTTTGTAGTACTAATTGATTGGAAGAGCTCTTAATCAACTAAGAAGAGTACTTGAGAGTGTGTTGGGTATACATTTGTATTTGATTTAAATTACATACTTATAATTGGTTGGTAGTATTTAATGTGTTATATGTAACAATCTTTATTTACATAACAAGTACTTTACTTGTTATAGAAATCTTCTAAAATTTGATCTTCTTCCATTAAACTTCACCGATATAGTTATCCTTGCCTCTTTCATACTTATAGTAGCAAGACTTTTTGGATTTAGCTATGAACTTGATCTAATTCTTTCTTTCAATTGCATGACTTCTTAGCACAAATTTTAAACTTTATTATTAATTGCTTCTATAGGTATTTAATTACTACTTCTATAATTGATATTAGAGATATACAAGATTTCCACCTTAAAAGTTTTGATAAGCTCATGAGGATCTACAATGGTTGCAAATCTATTTTCACTTTTTCCAAGAGTAGCATCTATAATATTTTCTTTCATTGATAACACAAAAAAATCTATAAGTCAAATTAGAAGATAATAATCCATAACCTTTAATATCAAATGAAAATTTTGACAAAGAGACGTTATCTTCTTTTTTTAAGAAAAAAATCACACTTAGGAAACTAAAAAATGAAATTGAAGGTAAGTAGTTTGCAACTTTCAAAATACAATAATAAAAGTAGAATAGTCCATTGACTTCTAAAAAAAAGATAAGAATAATAAATTAGCAATCTTGTCAAATTGTCAAAGATATGAATCTCAAAGAACCAAAATCTCAATACACTCTTGTGTAACTAAAAAAAATAGATATTTATTCAAAACTAATATATTATTGAAACTAGAATGGCTATTGATAAATTCAAGGAAACTATAATTGCAAAACAAATACATAAGAATATTGATAAAATTAAACTTTGTAGTTTTTTTTTAGTTTAAAAGGACTTATGCAAGAATTTAATTTTTTTAATGCATCTATGACTCTTGTATTATTATCTACAAAAATAATCCATATTATGACGTCTTATATTAATTCTAAGTAGTTATTATACAGTAACTTATTTATTCTAAAATATTCTATCTTTAGACTTTAATAAATTATAATAAAAAAAACTTGTAAAACAATAGATAAGGTTAAGTGTGCCAATGAGGAGACTAGAGCACCAAATATTTTTGAATATTAATTTGTATTAATAAAAAAAGAGGATAAATGATCCTAAAACAAAGAAATAAAAATATTTATCTTTTTAATATTAATAAAAACTTAAATATTTAAGACTAAGTTGTAGTGATTGAAAAAATATAATTGACATCCAACTTTAAAGTATCCACTTAACAAAGCTACATCTATATAAATTAATAATACTTTCTATATTTATGCTTTGACATATAAATTTAAATACATAGCAAAAACCATATATTCTGCTTTGTATTTATAAAAAAATTAAAAAATAAAAATTAAAGAAATATATAATTTAATTTTTAAAGAATATTAAATATTTTAAATTATAAAATTATTTATATAAAATATATATAAATATAAATATATATATATATATATATATTTAAGCATAGATCTAAAAGCACATAAATTTAAAAAATATTATAAATTATTAAATATATATATATATATATATATAATAAAAATAAAATAAAATAAAATAACAGCTTAAAAATAATCTTTTTATCTATACATGCATTATCATAAATATTTGGAAGCCTTTAAAATATTCTTAAAATTAAAATTTGATAGATCTTGTGACCAATAAATTAAAGTTAAAGTTAAGTATTTTAGCACATAAAATACATCTATATATCCTTAAATATAAATATAAATTTATTTTTTATTCATGGATTTTTTTTTATCTTTTTAGAAAACTATGTTTGACCAAAAATTATAAACATAAATGGTATTAAAGAAACTTTATATGGACATCTTATCATTAAGCTTTTGTGGCATTTTTAAAATGATATGATTAGTGCACTTTATAATTTATAATTGTTATATATTATAATAGATATTAAAATTTATATATTTTAATATTATAGAATTAATTAATATAATTTTTTAAAATATTTTAGAAATAAATCCTAAATTCTTGTATTTATTTCTTTATTATTATTATATTAAAAATATTATATAATTGTTTCATCTTTTTAATTTTCTATTAATTTTGTATAATTAATTATTAAAACCAAAATATTTTAAATAATTTAAATTTTATTAAGATATAAAATATACACCTAATTAAAGTTTTAAAGTTTGTAAAGAATATAATTTTAAAAATAACACATATTTTACATTATCAATATATCAACATGTATTAATAACGATAAAATCGAAATACTAGTATATCACAATCAAAATCTAAGAAAATTTTTAAATGATTAATTTTTTTAGTTTTAATAAATTTTTATCACAATCAAAGTCAACTACATATGCTTGGATTCTAAAAAAATTGGAATAAAATAAAATAAAAACACATTCAGATCAATTGCCAAATATGTCAACTAAAGTTCTTTGAAACAATTATAGAAAATTGGCAATTTTATTATTTAAAAAAGATTACCCCTATTTTTTTTTTTTTAAATCATATGATTGTATTTTTGTAAAAATGTCATTTCATCCACAAATAAATAAATTATCACTAAGATTTTTACACGGAATTCCTTCATGCTTTGAAAGTCAATGGAATATCCATTTGAAAGCATTTCTATGTGCATGTCATGCTAATAGACTTCAGGTGAGAACAATTATCAAACAAGGCAAGTTCCCTTTGTATGTATGATACAAGACATTAAGGCCCACCAAGTCCACTTCTCTTTTGAGTGATTATCAACTGTAAGACAATGATGATAAGAAGATAAGATTTGACATGGCTCATTTTACCATTGCATCAAGTCTACATCAAACATGCCTTGAACCTACTTTTCAACAAGCCAACTATGGATGGAATAATATTAAGTTGTAGATCATGTCACAATTTTGGTTTCAAGCCTTTTAGAGTAACCTCATGGAGAAGATACAAGATAGGATACTTATCAACAGAGTCCCTTAGATTTCTCACCACTGTGATGATTAGATCAATTCTTACTTTGAGAAAGCAATTTGAACCATACAGAAGCAAGGGTAGAAATTTCAGTGTCAAGAACTCATCTATCCAATGGCAATCCAAGCAACGTATATTGGGTGAAACACAACTCACTTCAAACTAACTTTCATTTGAAGATTCAGGAAATGCATAGAACTTGTCTTCAAGAATCACTTTTGCTGCAAATAGGAACTTTTGCATCTGGCAAAACTACAAACACAATAGAGATAGGGGCTACTGAAACAGGAGAGAAGTTCTCTCTTACAATTGGCTCCATGTTTGGAAGATCTCCAGTTGATGTTAATTCAAGCGGTACTCCATTCAACACAGCAGTTTGGCTATGAAGGTCCTTGTGCTGAGGAGTCAAATGATACTCAGATCTCGTAACTAGAGCTTTGGAAGTCTTGAAGCTTTTGGGTATGAGGGAATACTTGGGATTCTTGCCGCCTTGTGACTTTGGTTCATCTTTCGAATGTGATAAGAGGTTAGCAGCGACACTCACCGTGAAGTTTGATAGGTTTATCAGTAGTAATGTAAGACCACCCTGCACAGACGAGTATGTGCCAATCAGGTCATGTAGAATTGTCAGATAAGGTAATATTTGGAATGAAAGATACGTGAATTAGGAAAAGTCTAGGCAATGAAAGCAAGCGCTGCCATAAAAATCACCCGAAGATGTTCAATTAGGCGTTATATCTAGTGACATGCATGCGAGTTCATCTAAGCAGGTAACTAAGCTGAAGCTAGAAATGTACGTTACGCAAATCCAAAACCACTACCGTAGTTGAAGTAACTCGTAACAAGTAGGTTGTGCAACTAAAAAACATGAACATATCATTAAGCGTCTTTCGTACCGTAGTGGTCCCTTGTTGGCAATGTGAATATGTTCTCAATTGGGGATAACCATCCACTGTTGTTGTTAATACTCTGCTCCCCATCATACGTTTCCACAAAAGAGCACTGCAGCAAATGTTTTACAAACCTGTTAAGATCAACCTCACCGAGACCTCGAACGCAAAAGAACATGATGACAGTCAGCCTATCGGACATCCAACATTAGCTTCGTGCAATCTGCACAGTATCTTTTGGCTATTTGGATGCTCCGAAGCAGTCAAACCCAAGTCTTTATATGTTTGTTGCAAATTGTTTACAAACAACCATTACTCGTCGACCAGGCAAATGAAAAAGTGCAAAATATATTCACCTGTACATATCTGGATTCGGCCGAAAAGTTGTCGTATTGAGTAGACCATAGTTACCGCCGATTAAACTTTGGCGACAGTAAGCCTTGTTATTAAAGGAAGCAGCCATTGCCAATTGATCCAAGTACCTGCTCGGTACAATGCATCTCACTAGGAATCATAAAGCATGAACTTGAATCCCTGATAAAATCTTCCAATTAAGAACTTGTTTTCTAACAAAACTAGGTATAAATAGAATATGTAACACAACTCTAGTCCCATGACAAGTTACCGATCTCTTTTTGTGTCGGATTCCTGATCTACCCGGGGATACATGGATTGAAATGGTCTTTCCACAGCGACATGATTCAGCACCTCTGAAAGAGTTCCTGTTGCAGCCCTCTTCGGAGTTGAAAAGCTAGGTGGATGGATGAACTTACCAGAAGCTGAAAACAAAAGCATCAGTAACAAGGTGGTGGCCACTGTTGTAAGCTCCACCTGCTTCACCCACCCAAGCTGATGGTGAAGGATCTAAAGTTTGAAGAATATCTCGAACTGCACGGAAATTACCTAATTCGTTGTCTAAGTAAGAAGGATTAAGTATCTTGTCCACCAGATCACCGCTTACTCCTGTGTCAAGAGGCATAGTTAGATTGTCATGCGCTTTTTGGCAAAAAGTTAGGTAACATCTTTGGGTTGTCTGCAGAAACCTTTTTGTACATTAAGCATGATAAGCCGGTACCGACGTGACGTATTTACTAGGATTAGAAACGAAGAGATCATATACCCAATCAATTGAGGGAACTTGATAACTCAGTCAGAGCAAGCGAGAAGACCTGGCCCAAGATTATAAATATGCCGCGTAAACACGTCCACAACGCCGGGACCTGAGGCATTGAGGAATGCAGTATCCCACTGACCCTCGAGGAATCCATCAGGTGCAACTACCAATGGCCGCCGATCAAAATCTACGTAAAGAGTATCTATGATAAAGCGAAGCTCTCTCATATCTTCTGCATACTGTTGAGCTGAAATGGTCGTCCCAACACCATTTCCACTGAGCTCGTTTCCTGCAATTGCAGTGTTAATTTGTGACCGTCAATTTCAGAACTCACTTCACATCTACCTTACAACAATAATAGCTGCTTGCTTAATCTAAAGCCATCGACGAATAGATCCTGAACGATCTGAAAAGATTTTTTTTGAGTATTATAAAAAATGTGTGAAAGAGAACGCAAACCGAAAATCTAACAAAGCAGTGTGTTACCCAATTCCCATGCCTCTACTTGAATGCCTTGCTGAATTGAAAACTCAATAAGGCTCCGAGCATTGGATGAATCCCAAGGACCCCAACCATCTCCTACTTGGAGGCGATTATATAAAGCATTCAGTCCAAAAGCGACCAAAGTTCTGCAAAATATGCACCAACCAAATCTTAAATCTCCCTTCAGCGTAAATAGGCTCTGCAGATGAGCGTCCTTCGATTATGAACTCAAGTTGTAGTTTCATTTTTTTGAGCTTGAAATAAGCACCCAGAAAAATACAATGTGAGTACTCACAATAAACATACACCGTTGTCAATAATTAGCATGCACATGCTTGGCTAGTTACTATCAATTCATGAACCAATGCATCCAAAGACAAATGTTGAATCCTAAATTCAGAAAAGACACTTTCAGAATTGTGTTTTCTATGCAGACCACGGCAACCAATAAAATCAAGAGTGATCATACCCAGATTTTGCAAATAAATTATTGAGAGCAATCCATCGGTTCATGGACAAACATCCTTCTCGAAATCCAAACATATATGTTTCGTCTTTCGCTATTGGCAGACATGACTCTTCAGAGTTTAATCCTATTTCGTAGACAATGTGATCTTGCAGGGTACCACCAAGTCGGATACGGAAGGGATATAATGCTGTACCCTCAAATCATCAGAAAGAAGTAATCGAGGAGGTGAGTTAGCTGGGGCTTGGAATGTCAGATGACGAAGATGCGAGATAAAGTTAGAAAAAATACATACGTTTCGGTAGTTCGTCAAAGCACATGCGATTTCGACTTTATGTTCACCAACTGCACCGCATGCTTGTTGAGATGAAATATACCATTATCATGTATTTAAATATACGGTTGCATATTGAGAAGAAAATTTCATACCGAAAATGGTAAGGAGAAAAAATCGTACCTTTGAGAAACTTCTCAAGCAAAGGATTATCAAGATCCTGCAGGATCGTCACAGAAAGAGGAGCGTCATGAAACAAAAGTTAGCAATCTGTCAACATGGCATGGTGATTGAATGCAATTTGCAAATCATTTAAACTTAACCATCATGATTTGTGACTTCTAATCGTGGCATCATTTGTCATAAAGCAAGAAGGATACGAATGACAAGTCAAGGCCGTTTCGATGCAGGAAGCTCGTTAGACCGTAGAGACAAGATAGGTAAACAAACTAAAGGAAGGTTACGGTATCTAATATCTTAACATAAGACCTTATTTTGCCTTCAAGGAAGTGACCTTATGCACTTCTTGAGAAATAGTGAGTTGGCGTCATGAAATCGGTCGATTAGGCAGTTGGTGGAGCCCTCAAAAATGTGTCGAGGATTTCTCTAACTAATGGTTGGGGCCGATGGTAATTTAGTAAGGGAAAGTGAGACATTTTACAAAGCCGAATATATGTAGAGGACAGGCTCGCATCTGCCAGTGTCCATGTGCGAGGAGGAACCAGTAGTTTCAGATGAAGGATGACGAAATGCCGGTGCATCAAAGTGAGAGCAAAAGAGAGAAAGCTAGGAGGATTCGATCTGTTCTACCTAATGATGTACTTATGTCACTTCTTCTGCACCGGCAAGAGTCGGATAAGTTACAGTTAGTCTTCGCTTGATTATAGGTATGGCAGTAATATTCTTGTGATTGTAGGATATCCAAAAAGAAAATTGCGAAAAATTTCGACTATCCATACGGACTAATTGACGACTTGGTTTCGTATAAAACGTACGTTCGCCTTTATCTTCCAAACCTCATATCCAATAATACTGTCCAATTTAATCGTGCTCGAGATACAGACTTCACTTCAGATGCGGGCAGGAACTGCAGACATCGCTAAATGGAAATAATTGGCATTTTTTTTTTTTTTTTTTTTTTTTTTGTTTTCCCACAAAGTTTGCAGGTGATCCAACAGTAGAGTGTAATACAAGCCGAAGAATTCGATAAAAACAGCATCAGTGGCAATACATGATGGTGACGATTGGGGCTTAGTCGAAATGATAATACAGCCAGAAGACAAGACGAATTGAAGAGCCTGAGCTTTGAACTTTGACTCACGAGGTTGAGAAGCGAGGCTTGACCCCAGGCACAAGTGCCATAGTCGCATTTGTCAGGAGGCCACCAGTCCAATGTTGCACACAAAAATGCCTCATCCGTAGTGGCCAGGAGAGAGCTGGCGTCCACGTCAACCGTGAGAACATTGTCTTCGTCTTCCGCACATACTCGGGTAATATTAGAACAACTATGCGATGTGGACACAGACAGGAGCATGGACGACAACAGCAGGCACAGAAGTAGTGCCGCCATTGATGCACACACTCGTACTAGTTCCCAATCCTCGTTTTTCACATGGATGTCCACGGCCTCATTTATACTGCAGTGCAAATTGCCGAGCTGCACGACACTCAAAATTCTTGAAAACGCGTCGACGTAAGCTCCCCTCTCCTCCGCAGACAATTACGAATCCTTCGACAGCATCTTTCCCGATTATTCACCAGCCGAGAGCAATATGTTGCTCCAACCGCAGAAACATCTTGATCGTTCTTTCCCTCTACTCAATTACCTCTATGCAGAAGACTGTGCCATGCTACTGCAATTACAAACTGACAGTCGCTTCTAATCACGAAGCCATAAGTGCCTCAATAACGCAGTTCCTTGAAGTCGATACAATCTGAGGAAGAGCAGTAAACCAGCTCCCCTAAACAAGTGACCACCTGCACTCATAGTCTCCTTCTCAACGGAGGAAGCGAAGCTAATAGGTGCTAGAATCAGTTTGATCGTGTGTCTAAACTCAGAATCTTAATTCTGTCTGCGTGATCCTCCATGTCCCATTCAATCTCCCAAGCTTACAGTGGAGACGCGGAGCAGACCTCCATTCGGAAGTGAAGTGCTAGCTGCCATTCTCAGCAGTAATGGAGCAGAGCGTTGGGATCCTATGGCCGTGGGAGGAAGACGAAGTCAGCAGGATACCAAGGGTGGGGACGATGACCGTGGAGACAGAGTGAGAGGGACTGTCCCAGGGAGTTTTCTTCTTGTTGCCAGCTAGGCTGCATTATAAGTCACTATCGCTGGTAAGCTGGATCCTTGAAATTGCACCTAACTCGTGATTACTCCATCTTACAATTTAAGTGCTAATTCTTATTTACACTGCAACAGAGCTGTCTCACTATTATGCCACCCATTCAATATAATTTCTGCAAATTTTAAAAAGAGAAAAGAAAAAGCAAAACAAAGTTAGTCATAATGAATACAATTTGATAACCAAAGCATCTTTTGATAGGTCATTGTATTAATCTCATGTTTACATCTCTTATAATGCAAGTTCATTCTAGTTGAATATTACAAAATTTACCAAAAATAATTATCTTTCAAATAATTTTTGGGTTTTTTAATAATGTGATGTGAAGAAATTGTTAATCATGAGATGTATGGTAGAACAAACTAAGAGGGGAAAACTACAATAACAATAACAATAATAAATATTCTATTTTTTTATGTTATTCTTTGATATAATGTATAAGAAAATATTTTGAAATGATCATACTTTTATGAGCATTAAAGGTTGTCCTATAACCACATGAATTTATTTTATTATAATTAGTACTACTTTACAATCAAATGATTTTCTAAGTCCACCATGATGATGGAAAAATGTAAGAACTCTAAATTTACTACAATTTATCAATATATTAAAATAATTTTCTGTTATTTACATCTTTCCTTATGATTTCTGAAATAAACTTTACATTGGTATTGTGATTTTTGAGACACACAACATTTTACTAGTAAAGATCACTATTAAGAATCAGATCATAAAATCTCAAAACAAATGAACAAATTATGTGATATGCAATGCAAAATGTAACTATCTTGGTATCAAGTCATGTGGGAACATTTGAAAATTTTTCAAAAAAACATTTTTGCAAGAGTGTGGTAAGCATGAATTGAACATGCAACCTTCAAATATTTAGTCTAATGCTCTCCTAATTAAGACAAATATTCCATTGGGAGTAAATAAATAGCAAATATAATATGCATGTACTTTGCAAACAACCATTGTTGTAGTACAAAGAATTTACCTCAACAAAGTGTTGGGCCTCTAATTGCCCCTAATTGCTCAAACAAGTTGCAATTTTATAAAACAAAAATCTTATTTGTAGCTTGTCCTTACAAAGACATTTATATCAAATATACAAGTCTAAAATGCATAAGAATTTCCAAGATATGACTAAATATCCTAAAACCACTTCTATTTTTATGGAAATTCCTTCCAAATATATATTATCTTATAACTTTCAATCTATCTATTGTTGTATTATATGTTTTCTTGCTTGAGAATGCACCAAGCACCTAGCTATGGAAGATAAGTAGAAATGCAACAATAATCCTATTAAGTCTAATTGAATCTTAAATAAACTTTAAATAAACCATAATAATCTTAATCAAACTTGAAACAAATCAAAATAAATTTAATAGAAGTTATAAAAGAAACACAAAGAAGTCCTAAACTAATCTCAAAAAAAATAAAAAATAAATCTTAAAGAAGTATAAAAATAAACCTTTAAAGAAATAATAATAATCTTAAAGAAATATTAAAAATAAAAAAATTAAAGAAAAATAAAATAATTCTAAAGACATGTTAATAATAAAAAAACCTAATTAAATCTTAACCAAATCCTAGATCATATCTTAATTAAAATTCTAATGAAATCCTAAATCCTAGTCAAATCCTAAGTAAATCCTAATCAAACTTTAAATCTTAAACAAACTCTTAATAAATATTATAGTGGATTGAATCTTCAACAACTAATGATTGAATTGTTAATATTACCTCAAATTTCGTAAACTTCTTAATAACTTAGTTAAAAAAAGTATAAGAAAGATGAAATTGATCACACTTATTAATTGAGAAAAATGCAAGATAATCCAATTGGGTATTGAAGGGCTTCCTACTCCAACCTAAATGCTAAACTTTTAGTGTCAATATCTCCTTCTTGAATTATTGAATTGCTCTCAAATTTCATCTAAATGTTAGAAATTAAGTCTAATATTCATATAAAAAAAAAATTTACTTCAATGCTATTGACAAGTTACTAAAGATCTTAGCAATACTCACTGACCCTCAAACTCCAATTTTTGAGACCTCAATCCACAAAAACCATTATATACTTCAATCTAATTATTTAATTGATTCCAAAATTTGCATACACATTTATAACTAGCATACCAATACATTGCTCAATTTTTACCTATGTACATACTACAAAACTTAAGAAATCTTTAAATTTATAAATATATTTTTATTTCTCAAACCTTCATCCTACCAAGAATATTATTAACTTTAAAAATCCCTCAAAATCTCAATATTGATTCAAATGACATGAAACTAATGCTTAATTTTTTTTTTTTAAGTTTATTCTCAAATTCCACTCTCTAATCTCTAAAAGGACTTTGAAGTCATATTTTGAATGCATTTTTGTACTTTGGAGTTTGATTTTGTTCCTAGTTGACAATCAATTGTGAACCAAAATAAATCCCCACTAGTTGGAAGGCTAGTCTAATTTATAATAATTAAATTATCTAAATATTTTGATAATTATTAATTAGTTTTTTTATTTGATGCTCAAATTTTTTAATAATATACTAGTTTTTAAATAAAACAACCATCTATTATTTTAAATAAAACAACTACCTTAGTAGGTGATCCCATCCAATTCACAACTATTAATTAACTTATGAATAATTAAATAAATAATTCTTCTTACTTATTCAGATAATTTAATCAATTTAATAAATTAAATTCACACTCAAGCAATCACAATCCACAATACAAGCCATACAATAATACTAATACCATATTCAATTAAGAGATTATTATTTTTTTTATTTTTTTATTTCTTATTATTTAATTTTTAATAAAAATTCATCTAAATTAAATCTTCTTCTAATAATTTTTCATCTATGAATAAATTTTCATGCACAAATGAGAAATCAACTAATTCAATCAAGTTCCATCCACCATTTATTATCAATTTTTAAAATTCATCTTTAATTGAAATTCTATTCGGATTGGTTCATCTGACAAATTCTAATTCAATGTAATGCTAATTAACTTCTTCTTAACCTAGAATCCTTGACAACTTGAATATCATTAGTCACCTTTTGATTATAATCGGTTTGAAGAGTCCTAGTCCACATTGCTCCTTCTTCCTTAATGGCTAGATTGTGAATCTTCTCGCAATTCTATAGTCAAATGGATTTTGAACAATAAGATGCACACTTTATCGAGTTGCAGCATATCCTTCTCCAACTTGTTCTTGTTGTATAAGAAGGACCTCACCTCAGCCATAAGGCCTCAAAAGAATTTGCAGCTAGTCAATTTGTGAACCACTTTTGATCCTCCACAATTGCTTGGTCGATGGCTTTCAATCTTCTGCTATGCCTTCATGTGGCCTTCAGTAGCTTCCAAAGTTTGTATTACAACTTAGGTCCTACTCAATGATCTTACACGACAATGTTGACTATGAAGACATTGATTGAGGGCTAATATATAATATCAAGGACCCTTCAATGCTTTATTAGAAGAAATCCTTACATGAGCTTGAATGCATATTGGCAACCATCAGTCAAGTAGCATCGCAAGAGGTTGTTGTGGCTGTGGCTCCAATAAAAGATCCTGAACTTATTAATTTAGCATAGCATGCTCTTGTGAATATGACCACTATTTCTACAACCTAGCTATATTGCCGCCTATTACATGCTCTTGTGAATATGACCACTATTTCTACAACCTAGCTATATTGCTGCCTATTACATGCTCTTGTGAATATGACCACTATTTCTACAACCTAGCTATGTTGCCCCCTATTACATCGATGACTATGTTAATCGACATCCTCCTAGTAGTTTAAAATTGATCCTTTAAAAGGTGGTCCGTTACAACTAGCAAATCCTATATAGCTTGTAATCGGAGAAGGTGTAGGTTACAGCTTAGCTATTTTTCTTCTTCAAAAACTAGTGTTGATATGTTCGTGACTCGATCTAACTTCTAGCAATATTGTTGCATTCTATTTTGTCCAATATGGCCAAGCAAGCACCTCCAACATCTAGAGCTTTTCACCGCACTAAGATTGTTGCAATGAAAAATCTTCTGATGATCGGCAACAATGTCTATCAACTGCCTACAATATAGTTTTATTGCCATTAACGGCGAACAAGCAAGAAGAACCCCCACAAGAGATCAGAATACTATCGCCACCGGTAACAACTCCAAACTATAAATCAATCAAGGAAAAAAAATAATGCATAGCACAGCCGCACATCAAAAAGAAGAGACAATTGCTGATTCTAAGTGAGCCTCTACACCATTGAGCCATACCATGAGCTAACCGCAATCGCCATCGTGCCTTCGTTGATCTTTGCTATCTTAAGGCGCTATCATCAATAATTGCGCTAAACTCCAATCCAGCACCACTTGAGAACTTATAATGCCACTTGTACAATTCTCCAGCCTCCACACGACACTTGCATGGAAAGAACCTTTCACACCGCAAAATCAAGCCGAGGTTGCTAATCTATCAACCGCAAGATCACCAACGTCAACCTTGGCATTACGCTGCTGATGCACAGTGCGTATGAAAAAAAATACAAGACTTGTTGGCTCTTGAAATGTTGCAATGCAGTACCTCTCCGCGCTTCTTCTACCGCACGTCAGCTTACACTACCACACCATGCTACGGTTGCTACAACACCCGTAAGTCCAAACCAAAAACACAGTCTAGAATGCCACTTGATGAAGACACGCAGAGAGATAAATCGAAACCAAGAGGATAAGGCATAGCTGCACCGCAGCACTCCAATCGAGCAAAAACAAAATAGAAAGAGGAAAAATACTGCATCG